ATTAGTTATTGCTAAACGAACATCAAGCAATACCCAGATATAGATACAGAAGCGGTACAAGCATTGGTACTTTCACAACATCGTTTTTTTAGGCCGGGTTTTCAATATTGACAACTACAAAACGAAATATCGAAGAAGGCTGGATGTAAGAAACGCGTTACGTGCACCACTGTCGACCATGTCTCTAAATTGGAAACTGTTAATGGCCAACAAACAAATAGATTTTCGCATAGCATCACCTTTTTTTGAATAATTTGTCAACGTAAATTTTCAAACGCTTGTACTTTATTACATAGGCTTAGTCCATTTGTATGAAGGTGGTCCGCCAAAATTTTGATCAGGATATACCGGTCCGTCACTTAAAAAAGGTTGCCGACCACTGGTCTAGACCGTCTAGACTTCAGTCTGGCTCGAAGCAAAAGTCTTGAATTCAGACTTCTCTAAAATTCTAAAAAGGGGGAGCTGCTTAAAAAGCTTGAGAACCACTGGTATACACAATCGCAACATAAAACTTCAAATTATGATGCAACCAATACTCCTATAATGGAATTTTCACTTCAGTTTCTGTTTTGTGTATGATTGTACCCAGGATGATTGCACTCATTTTGCACAAAAGGTATATTTCTTGTAGAATATGTTCGACACTCCAGAAGTATGCGGACACCGGAACGAACCAGGTGAGGGCTAGACCATCATTTTATTCCAATTTTTCTTTATTTTAGTTCTATTACGAGTTTGGGGACTAGCCAAGTGACTCCCGTAGTAATTGTACCTGGATTTATGACCCTTTCCTGGTACACATACTACGTCCCGGTGTCCGTCATCTTGTTTCACATACTTCTGGGGTACCATATGTTTCAAATCATTTAGGTTCTGTTTTTCTTGGGGTCACGCAGTATAAATGAAAACAACGAAAAAATACCTAAGTGGTTAATACAATCATATCTGCTTACAATAGCACACATACAGTTAATAGTGAAACTAAAATATATATAAGGAATATTGACAACGAAATAAACACAAAAGATAGGGTGTTTTAATCGTCGGAGATGGTTGAATATGAAGTTCACGTTTGTTGAGTATTGGGAGTGTTGCTACAGGGGGGCGGGTGACAAATGGGTCGCAAATAATACAGCAATTTGACACAAATATTTATTTTCCTTTTTTTTGACTTTTGCTTCGAATGACATAATTATTGAAACCAATGCGAAACATAAATCTTTAACGATTTTGACAGAATACAAAGAATAAGAGAAGCGGCGCGCTTGCATAACAATGCCGACCTAAACTTGTATTTCAGAGTTTATGGACACTGGCTTTATCGTTCTCAACATTTTTTTTTCAAGTCAATTTTACACGAACCGTATATACCGATTCTATGGTATTGAGTCTGTCTGTTTCCCATGACTTTATACATCTCTTTCTCACTGCTATACCTATCGTTGCGTTTTTATCAATATCCTACTACATATACAACAGGTTTTAGTGATTTTGGTGGTGGTCCAGGGTGTACGGGTATGTAAGATAAGATCAAATGTCAAATCGTTTTGTAGTCGCAATCTGTTTGACTATAGACTGAGGTGAATCTGTAGCGACTTCTCGCGGTGGCGAAAACGCGAAAATCGGGGTTCTTGCGAATACTGCCAAGTTTATGTTCATTTTTGTATTTTTTCAAGCTCAAGTTTGTCCATTTCTTTACTCTTTTATCCACTAATGGATTTGTACTAGGCCATGAAGCTTCCACAGTAACTTTGGGATATACTTTACGAACGGAAAGGACTGATTTTGGAGGATCGGGTAAAATTATCTAATTTTCTAGTTTGAAGTTACGGTTTTTATGAGAAAAAAATTGCCTTTTTTAATTTGACTCCAATCTCCACTTTATAATTTTTTTTTTAACCGACAGTGTTAAGCCATCAACTAGAGCAGAGGTCACAAATACGGCACGCGGACCGGATCCGACCCGTGACGTCCTCACGTCCGGAAGGCGATAACACAAAAAATGACGTTTTTTTCTGAGGAATTAGGCCGCGAGACGAGGCCGTTTATATTTCAGTTTCGCAGCGCACATAGAGAACTACTTGGAAATAATTTTCAAATGCTCCTTAGAAATTCTGCGATATATAATTTAATATTCAAGACTTCAGAAATATAGAATTTATATTGTTGAATAAATTGAATGGATTTCCTAACTTTTGAGACATTGACAAAAATATTTGTCCGGCCCGTTTCAACACAGTTTGAGTCATATCTGGCCCGCGGTTGAAAAAGTTTGGTGACCCCTGAACTAGAGCTTTCAAACCAGCCGTCAGTGGGCAGCAGGCAGTATCTGTTTGCCTTCGGCGGTGATTTATATATGGGGGGTTCAATTACATAAAATTGGCTTAGCAAATGCTAGAAATTCTGGTTATATAGAATAGATGGCCTTCTGATATTCCCGAAGTATTGTACCAAGATGGCGCACAACCTGAACATATCATGCGTACCAGGTTAGGATTCAGGTTGTGCGTCATCTTGGTACACATACTTACGAAGCACCGGCTTTCTCAGCATTTGGATTAAAAAGATAATGAACATGAAAATAGGTAACAAGCTCTCTAAAAAGTTATTCTAAATACACAATTAGTTATTTTGTTTATACAAAATATAACAAGCAATAACATTTCTAATACATATTAGAACTATCAAATGCTTACAAGTAAAAACGTTGATATCAATAAAAATGTGACGTTACTAATCCAATACGTAAAATTCAGATGAAGTGGGAATAACTTTCATCCAGAGATCAAAGCAGAGTCATTCATAAATTGCGGAGTAGATTTGACAAAAACCTCAACTTCAACATCAAATAATTAGGTTTTGATGCGAATTCATTATGATATGCCTTCGTTTCGAACAAGCCTCTGGACAAGAAGACTAGTAATCCGGTATATTACCTCACAAGATATGAAAATTGTTTCTAAATGTCTGCAAAGATATTGCTATTTAGCTTGACGTTGTGACACAAAAAAAAACCGGTAATTGCAAATGAATTTATGGTGAAATTATGTAGTTTCCTACAAAAAAAAAAAATAAATACAAATTACAATATTTATTTTTATCACAAGACAGAGCAACCTGGAAAATTGAAGTTTTCGCGTCAACTGATATATGGCAAGAGCCTGTGAAATGTTCTTTATCTCTCAGCTCTTTGTACTTGAGATTTTAGGAGTTCACTCAAGACTGAGTTTTAATTATTCCGTAACAAAAACTGAGTCGTAAAAATATCTATTTCATTATCAAAAATAATCAATCCTGACTGACCTAGTTGCAACAAAGTAGAAAACATCGCAGCATTACTTGTGTACAAACAATTTATGAGCGAACAGCTGATTTCCTTGTACGTAAATGAATTTGACGGGTAATCGTAAAAGTTTAGATCAGCGTTTCCCAACCTTTTTGGTCGCGGATTATTTTCTCACCGGCTAAAAACTTTGCGGACTCAACGTGCGTTTATTGCAACTGTACTCTGTATTAAGAAGCAATAAAACTAAACACAACAGAAATTCAACGAATTTCAAAATCGGAAATTCGCCGCAATTACGCGTTCCTTTAAAAGAGCCGACTTTTTTGGTGTATAATGGACTTTTCTGTCGCACAATATTCAATCCATGACAACGACGGGAATTGAAAATGTCTTTCTATTTTAATTTAATTGTGTTCATGGTAACTCGCGGTTGCAACGACTTACGATGAGATGAAAACATTACTTCTTTAAAATTCCACCGCCATCTGTAAACATAATAATGAGAGAATATATTGCCCAATTATATTCAGCTTTGATACATATTTTTTGCAATCTTGCGAATTTGTTATCACCGCTAGAAAAAATCCTACCATCTGCTATGAATTTCTAGAATGTACAACTTAATTTAGTATTTATTAAAAAAATATTTAAACTGTATTAGTAAATCAAAAATACATATTCATCGCCTTAAAATTCTCGCGAACAACTTCTGAAGTAATCGTCGCGTATACGTCACTCGTCAAAAGAGCCGACTTTTCAATGATTTTTTCTGTTGCATACCATATTCAATCCATCCATATGTGTGATCCTTTTAATCTGCGGTTGTGTTGACTAAATAATAGCAATACTCCTCAGAAAACACCATGACAATCCGTGGACACAAAAATGCGGGGTAAAGTGCCCCAATATATTTTGTTTTGATTCGTATTTTTGTGAATTCGACAAATCTGAGCTGTTCGTACAACCCTTACGGAGCTCCATTACTACTGTACGTACCAATGTGGAGGCAGTAAGGAAAAGAATCCTGAAGTTAAATGCCCTGGTCCGTATACTACGGTAGCACTCGAAATTTTGCGATTTGCAATGTCTAAAAAAGCGTCTTTAATCGGTCGCGGACCGCTTTTCAATTTAGAAAATTTGGGTTGCCACTATTTACACCCATCAGAAAAAAAAAAAATTCTCGTTGTTCGAACTCGCGAGAAACACCACTTAGGTATCTATCGACTCTTGTTTTCGTCGAAAATCCGCAAGTGAGTTGTGAAATCCAATCGTTTGATTAAGCGACTCGCAAGTGACCCGTCGCGTCACGTGTTACCAAATTTTCGAAAAATAAATTGCTATTCTAATAGTTGAATATGCGATTATAGGCTCAGTAACCGGTAATTATTGACTCGACTAATGTTATGTGAATAAATTGGCTTTTCATGTTTCATGTAAATTCTAACGTAAATCGTAACTTGGCCGATAGTTGATTAAGTTTCGCAAAAACGTTTGCGGCCCGCAGTGAATTTTTGGCTCGTTGCGGACTCTTTCAAATGCTCTGCGGACTCATTTGAGACCGCGGACTCGGGTTGGGAAACACTGGTTTAGATGAATGATTAAAACGAAGTCAGATTGAGGAGAAGTATTATCCCGGAATTATTGTTTTATGCAATGTCGTTATATAAGCTCAAAATCAGTCAGAATCGGTCCATAAACTGGTTTAGAAAGAATCTTAGTTTGATGGAAATCGTTCCTTCTGGCACAAGACTCCGTTTAAATTTGAAGAAGGATGGGTGTTGAACATTCCTTGGTTACTACTCGATGGATTTCTTACAACAATCGCCATTAGAGTGTAAGGTCTAGGATGTCCCGGGTGATAATTAGTGTATGGAGCAGTAGTTCCACTCGACAGTAAAGCTCTTTTCGTCTGTTGAAAATAAAAACACGTGATTAGGAAAATTTTCGTGAAGAGGTTTCAGTGAAATTGTTGCGGTAATTTATGGTATTTGAAGATACGATGAGATTTAGGAGTTTGTTGGATAAGCACGTGAAATAGTATTAATAGAATATTGCGTGAAGATGAATTTTAAAAATTTGGTGAAATGGTAAGAATAAGCATATGGCGTAAAAATCGTAGTATTTCCTGGGCAGGGTAGAAAAACAATCAAAAAACAAATTAATCAAGTCAGCATTTAAAATGATATTTTTAGGTTAGGATAGAAGTTGGGACTCATTTTAAATCCATGGCAAATTCTCATAAAATTCAACAACTGCATATGAAGCAACGATTCATCCAAAAAATATGAAGCAATGATTCATCATATAAAGCAATGATTTATCCAAATACCTGGTGATCGTATTTCATGCCAAGCCATAACTCTGCGTATGAAATAGACAACACTGATCGAATATATTTGAGAACCAAATCATAATGTTGAGAATCGATTATGTCTGCTGGTTTTGCCGATCTTTCCCCACACATTGCAACAGCTTGATCGTAGTTGACATCTCTTTCAATGTGTAATGAAGCTATGTAACATTTCCCGAGATAGCTCACACCGTCACAAGATCCTGTGAAACATACATAGAGGATTAAATCTAGATTTTTGTATCCGGCGCTTACTAAAGCTTCTTGATCCGAACTAGGCCGCTGATATAAATGTAATGAGCTACAGTTATTTGAAATGACCTGGCCCGCCAAATTTATCACTCTCTGTGTGAGGGGGGAGCATGGGGCTCAAACTCGAGATATGCAATCTGCGATGACAATACAGTCAAGTCTATGCTTTGACCATTGGCCATCGCACCATGATATGGAATTGAAATATTACGAAAATTTTGCAAGCTTGATTCAGCAATAGCTGAAATGTTTGGGTAATTAAAATAAATCCAATTCAATTTGGATTTCTTAATAACGCTGGTTTAATGCCAGATAGAACTCATAGTGCACTGGTTCTCAAATCTTTTCAAGTCGCGTCATCTTTTTAGAATTTATCAAGTCTCGGATCCCACCTCAGAAATAACTATCTAACAATAAGCTACAAATAACAGATAGTATGGCGAGAGTATGTTTCATTCAAAATCACGCTAAAAATACGTATGAAGAAATGTAAAAAATAAAAAAATGTGAATATCCGAAACAAATCAGATCGGGCAAAATACGTTTTAACAAATAATTTTATTTCAATAGCTTCCTGCCCCCCCCCCACCAAAAAAACCATCTACTTCCCCCTTGTGGGGCAAGCACCACCGTTTGAGAACCACTGTCTAAGTGTGAATGCAAATCATCATAATCATTTCACAGTTGTTTAAGAAATCTAGTTTGACTCGGATGATTCGCGACTCGTGGTTTAAGAACTCGTCGTCCGGATTGATTTGCGTATTGTTTGTCTGTTTTCACATATTGCATTGTTCATGTTAGGGAGTCGAGATATCTGATTCATTGATATTACCTTGCAAAATTTTTTCATCTAGTTTTTGAACGGCTTCTTCAAGTTTTGCCAGCATTCGTTCTTCTAGCTCTTCCACTCTTGACGCCACAGAATTTTCCACTAGGAAAAAATTAATTTGCTTTATTAATGAGGTGTTTCGCTTCGGACAAGGCTTCGAAAAACAACTACTACCAGTGAGCAATTGCGAAACGATAAATTTTCCTCTCGCCACAAGCAATAGTCGCTCGAATGCAAAAACAAAAGCGCCATTTTCAGCATTTAAGACCGCGATACAAGGGAAATTCGATCTATGTTATTTTAATGCTGGAATAACTGAAAGCCAAGGCGCTCAAACATGACGCACACGAAAAATTAATTTTATATTATAAATATTCGAAAAGGGTTGTAAACATGGATTGTAATTTGAACTAAATAAACCTACCAAATCTCTCAAATAGCTGTTCAACGGTTGCATTAACTTTTTGATAGTCGACAATTCCTGATTCGCCTTGTTGACCTTTAACCCCGTGCATTCCCATTTCACCTCTTTCACCTTTCGAGCCTCTTTTTCCAGGTAAACTTTGGAAACGACGAGAGTGGGCTGAACCACGACTGGGAATCGAATCGTTTTCGTCTTCAGCAAACACGTCGTCCACATTATTGCATATCATATGCTGACTTGGTGCCGTCACAATGGTAGTAAACATGTGACAAAGGCAGACAAGAAATAACAAACGACTCATGACGATTCTCAGATTCTATAATCACTGGAAAAATATAGTAGAATAGGAATCTATGTGAGGTTGCAATAATAATTGAAACTATGGAATTAGCATTTGCTAAATTAGATGGTTATCGTTTGTATATCGGTGGGAGGTAAGCCGATACGACGGTTTAATTTAGTGTCGTATCACGCTCCCTTGCTCTCGACCACAGGTATTTTTATTTTACGAATTTAAAATCTTCTAAATTAGGTTTTAGGGATATCACCTACACGGAAGTATATAAGGTGAAAGGACCTGCAGTTCAATATACAATAACCCAGCACTTTCTGATTCATAATAGTATTTTCATTTTATCCGGGGAGTGGAAACGTCGATAACACGTTTTAATTCTATGTCAGTTCCTTCAACTACCTTGCGGAAGTATTTCGAACCGGCGAGTTTAAACAGGAAAACAGGTATGGGCCCTCACCTAGGAAGTTTTCAAATTATTTGTAATTTGACCGTAACTGGATTATTTGTAATTTGTTATTTTAAAACGTCAAATCTCAAATTTTTGCAATAGTATAGGCGGCTTTCTACAAAAATCCAAATCTATTTCGACACTGACTTATGTTGAAACTAAATATCGATGAAATTTAGGAGATTTGCAACCGTGATCCATGACACGCAGGAGTGCTGAGACCCACCATCATTGAAAAAGAGTCACAATTCGGGCTTAAGTGCCAGAATATGCAAGCCCATTGGTCTCGTTTAAGTTATTATCAATTTTTATACTATTTTCTGTATTATTAAATTTTACTTTATTTAATTTTAGTTCTTGAAAATTTGGCCGTGGCAAGGGTCTGGAGATGAAAAAATGAAAGTCCTACCCAATTCTTACGCTAACGATCACATTGCATACGTTTTTGGTATATAAATGGCCGGTTTAGAAGATGGCCGGAACCCAATTCAGACAATGGGGGCCCTTAATTATGCATTTTTGAGGGCCTGTTAAATAGGACGTCACAACACATCATTTAATATGGCGCCAGAATGGGTCAAGTAAAAAATATTATTTTATTGTTTATGGATCAGATCAGCCTTATCTATTCACAAAACCCTAATCTAAGCAATTTATTGACAGCAACCCTTATAACCCCGTGTGTCTTATGGTCTGTAAAATACGGTTAAATTTAAAATCAATCAAGAAACTCTCAATACCATAGCATCAATAAACTCGGCGTCATTTTTTACAATGCTTTGCTGTCGAAGTTATACAAGCGCCATATTAATGCTAAATACAATTAACATTGTATTTTTGGAATGAACGGGTCTACGATAAAAAATATCCCAAAGAGTAAAAATATATTATATGTTTTCACAATGCGTGCATAATTATGAAATACATGATTGTTAAAACTAAAGAATATTGGCAATACCACACACATTACATTTCAATAACACTGGAATTCCTTCACGCGGAGGAATTTCTCCTCACTACCCTAACATAGTTAAAGCATAACCATGTCCGAACCGAACGCACAACCATGTATGATTCTAATTTAAAGGTTAATATCGGTTATATGTCTGTCGATTACACAAAATTTATTAGCATCGTCAGAAACTACTAATCGTAATAATAGAATTTAATGGTCAAATCAGTAAACCAGTGTTTTTCCCCAAATTTCACATTTTGCGTTAACGACGGGGGCTTTTTACAAAAGATCCAGGCCTAGTTTTGATCGAAAGGCGCGAATAAGCGTCGTGTGAAAATGTCAAAAAGTTCCAAATTTGATCACTTGTGATGTATACGCAAGGCGTGCTTTAACTTATTGAATCCGGGAGAAAGGGTAAACCTATAAGCCATATCGTGTGACGAACCACAGCCTCTCGTCGGTTACCAGTCCATGTCGGGTATGGGATTTGTTAGCTAGTTATAATGATTTATGCCCTTTTGGGGACGAGGCAAAAATTATTTTTCGACGCTCATTCGGTCCTTTCGTTCTGAACAAGACCAGGAACAAGCACCACTAATATCTAACAATATCTCCCTTGTCTTGTTTTGCTGTTGAAGTGCTTCAAGTGCCCAATTACCTGATAAATACAAATAACATTTCAGTTTTTAAATAAACAGGTCTACGATGAAAAAAATATTCGAAATAGTGAAATTATAATTTATGTTTTCATAATGCGTGCATGAGTATGTATTGCATAATGGTTAAAAGTAAAGAATATTGGTAATACCACACGCACCACACTTCAATAACACTGGAATTCCTTCACGCGGAGGAATTTCTCCTCACTACCTAACATAGTTAAAGCATAACCATGTCCGAACACACTCTAATACATCGCAAAAATACTTTTCAAAAACACTAAAATTTCCTAATGCGGAGACTTCAAAGCGTAACCATGTTCGAAACGTTGATTAGTACTCACGGAAAAGATGAAAATATAAAAACCCAAGGCGTAATTACACGAATAAAACGCAGTTTCTTTATCTCTTGTTAGGCTTGAGTGACAGCTAACCGCACCCAACACACGCAAACCCCGTTTTCACCCCATCTCTCTGACCTAATCGTTCTGAAAAATTAGTTTGGTCTAAACCCCAACCTACATGCCAATTCGACTATGCTTTTGTACTAAACTGCGACAAGTTGCCGGACCCCTAAATGTATTACTAATTTTGATTACCTATTCATACTATTTTCTGCATTAAATTTTACTTCATTTCATTTTGGTTCTTGAAAAATTTGGCCGTGACAAGTGTGTGATAATTTAAAAATTTTGAAGTCCTACGATATTGTTACGCTAACGATTGCATTAAATATATATATATATTTTTTTTAATAAATAGCCGGTTTTGTAGGTTTACAGAACCGGATTTAGACGACAAGGGCCCTCGATTATGGATTTTTGAGGGCCCGCTTCAACAATACGACAAAAACAATCCGCTATTATGGCGCCATAATAGGTCATATAAAAAATATTATGACGTTGTAAATAAATTTCAAATTTCTTGGAATACAAAAATTTTAGTTACGAGCGAGTTACGTGCGATAATTATCAAAAAAATTTGTCGAAAAAAAATACACGATTTGTCCAAAAGAGTATTTTTCTCAGCGGAAGCGTTGTGGAATTTCAATTATTGACTTGGTTGACCGGAAAACAGCGATAAATTGTGAAAAATTTGGATCGTTCATAACGATCGGCGCGTTTTATCGTTGTTTCCACGGAAACGAAACTTTAATCCGGACTTTCTTTGACACGTATATTACTGGGGTGACAGGATAACCCATGTGTAAACTTCATCTAGATCGGTCCAGCCGTTAAGACGCAAAATTGCACCCACAGCGTATTTCATTAACCACGTCGCTGAAACTTCCATTTCATTTTGAGCGCTGCGAGTTTGTCGGTATCTTTTGGTCCGTACAATTCGGTAAGTAAATTTTAAAATAATCTGAGAAACTATCGACTCTAATCAGATACCATAACATCAACAAACTCAACGTCATAATACCCGTTTCTAGTAGCAGGTGGTGGAGAAAGGGCAGGTCACAATTACTGATAAATACAATCATCATGCCATTTTTCAAATAAACGATAAAAAGAAGTAATGAAAAATATTTTAAATTTGGATTGGTATTTTCCTAAAAAATAATATCCATTCATATATTAATATTTTCTTATTTTTCTTTTCCAAAAACTGAGGGATTATTGTGGTAAAAACTGCTCAAGTATTATTGGTTTAAAAACTACTAACAAATAAAAATTGTGGCGATATCCTGCAATTTGTCGAGTCCAATTTATTTATTTTTATTTGTTTTGGGTGAGGGGTCAAATTTCTTTTACAATGCTCACTTGCTCATTTGACTTTTAACAAAGTCCAGTCACAAGCACTACTTATGTATAACAATACCTTCCCAGTCTCGCTTTGCTGTCGTAGCTACAAGCGTCCAATATCTAGATTGTTTCCTGTCACCCTGACACCCATAACCTAATCAGGTAACAGTTCGTCTGACTAACTGACTGATTAAATTTGACCCGCAATACACAACCTAGAGATAGACTGATCGAACTTTATATAACCTCCCAACGGCTTTTTTACCTATACCCGCGGGATTTTCGCGTGGGAGTTTCTGATATTTGCTGCCAAATAAGGAACAACGAACCTCATGTCTCCTGCCCGATATGGAAATCGTCAGGTTTAACTTGGACAAATTCCTCGAATGTTTTCGTTTTTTAGATAAGGTGCTCCCGTAGTATTCGGACCAAGATAGCGAATAACCTGAACATAGTATGTGTACCAGGTTAGGGTTAGCAGGTTGTGCGCCATCTTGGTACAAATAATAGGGGAGCGCCGAAAAATAATACCTAGCCTGAATTCTAAAAACGATTTCAATATAAGCCCTCCCCTTAATTGAAATAAGACCTAGTCGATAGCGCGAACTTTTTCTTAACCTAGTCGAGAGCAAAAAATCTCTCTTACACGTTTTAAATTGTTCTCAATAGTTTAGTAGTTGTTTTAAATAAACACATGTTATTCATAAGTAAATGTATATCGGTTTTCATATTTTGTATATATGAAATCTAGTAATTCTTTACGTTGTAAATTTGTTTTTGATGAATGAAAATAAAAGGCCCAAAAGTATGCCCCTGTGATATTTTTCCAAAGAAAATTGAAATAGAACCCGGTCTTGTTTTCAGGGAAACACGGTATGTTGAAGTTAGAAATACTCGGGCTGAATCTCTATATCCCATGAACTTAACAATCCGATGCACAGCGCGCAGAATGTAATAAATCAACCAGGCCAGTTTATTCCACAAAATCCGCAAATCTATACATGTTTTCATAATTAATGAATAACTATGAAATGCATAATAGCAAAAGGTAAACTATTTGTAACTTCTAAATCTAAAATGTATGTTGTATTTGACTGACCATCTGCACTGTTAGATAAACCATTTTCTGAATATTTAAATACTGTTATATTTAAGTAATAAACTAAAGTGTGGTGTTACATCTCAAAATGGGGAGGGCAGGCATCATCGAAGCG